CTGGTGGAGTAGCTCTAGTGGTAGAGTGCCTGCCTACAAAGCGTGAGGCCCTGAGTTCAAACCCCAGTGCCACCAAAAAAAAAAAAAAGTCAGAAATATAACCTTTACCTAATGTCAGAATCTTGTTGCGATAGTGGCTGAGAGGTGCAGTGCAGTCTGCTGGGATTCATCCTAATACCTCCTTTCTGCTTCCCCAGAAAGGAGGTGTGTGAAGTCTTTGTTCTCTAGGATAGAGATGGTAAGTGTGGGAGTCAGCACAGAGCCTCCTCATACCAGGTGAGTTTGAAAATCAGGCTGGGGATTAAAGAAGTGTGGGATGCATCGACTTCTGCTTTGATAACTATAATCACATTTTGTGGGGCTGTATATTTCCTGCAGGTGGGAAGTTGAGACAGATGAAGTTGTACTGAAGCAAAGGCAAAATCAGACAGATTATGGGAAGCGCACACAGGGTTACCAGTACTTTCTGCAGCAGGTCCCCAAGTGAGTGCAGTTGTGGGTAGTCATGATAAGGGCATCCACCAAATGGCCCTGGTTCAATTTCAGGTGATGAAAAGATCCTAGAATCTGAGTGCTGTGACAAAGTCACAGCATTACTAATTTTCCTGCATTCTAGTTCCAAAAAAGTTTTGATATTTCTCAAATGAAAAAAAGTCATATTTGGCTCATAAGACTTTTTAAAGCTCTGTACATGCTTCCTAATGAAGTTTTTTTCCTCCACATTTTTACCATCTCCTCCTGACTTGACCAACTACAGCATACTTGATTATATACATACATACATACAAATGAAATGAGTGATAGGGTAGAATGTCTTTATGTCAAATATTGTCTTATATTTTGACTTCCAAGGGAGTTGTAATTAACTAATTTACCCTTTCTAGAAGAAAGAATTTAGGGAAATTAGTGATAATCTGATTTGAAGATATTAGGGAAATTAGTAGTGTTCAATCTAATTTGAACAGAAAAGATTCACATTTCTGTTGGATTGAGGGCATTGATCCTACATCTTTCTTGGGAATTCTTATTTAGGGAATTCCCCAACCTGACTCATATTTGTTGTTGCAAGGCACAGCAGCAGCCAGGGCTTCACCCTCAAACACCAAACAAGAGCAGTAGGTATAGCCGTCGTTCCTGGGATACCCAGATAAGGCACTGGAGAAGAGCCCTGCATACCTGGGACCGCCCCCTCCAGTCAGCATCTGCAGGGTAGAGGGACTGAAGGGTGTGTTCATTATTCCTGGTTCCTTCCCTCACTACTTTGCAGAGGTTTAGCTTTTATCAAGTGGAAGGGAGAGTCTGCTTCAGTGTATGTTCTCTGATTCTGTTGCCTCTCTAGGCAAGGAGTGGAGAGTCTCTTAGAGCCAATGGATTCTACTGGTTTAGCTGACCTCCTGGATAACTGGCTCCAGGCCAGAGGGGCCCAGGTAGTATACTTTGCTGAAAGCCACTGGAGTAGGGTCACAGATGGGACCTGACCCATGAGAGCACAATTCAGAGGGGTTCAAAGAAGTGGCCCAAGGACAAAGAATAAAGAGGGGGCAGCAGGAAAAAGATTAGACCATGAGTAAAGCAACTTGAGCCAAACTGGACATAGTGACATATGACTGTAATTCCAGCACTTAGGAGACTGAGGTAGGAGGATGTCAAGTTTGAGGGTAGCCTGAGTTACATAGAGAATTTGAGGCCAGCTTGGAATACATAGCAAGATTCTGTTCTCAATAAATAAATAACAACAACAAAAAATCTTGAGAATTAAAAGTGGCATAAAGAGAACTGGAGGTGTGGCTCAAGTGGTAGAGTACCTGCTTTGCAACCACAAAACCTAAGTTCAAACCCCAGGATCACTAAAAAAAAAATTTAAAAAGTGGTATAAAAGACTTATTATGGCTGGGTGTTGTGGTTCACACCTGTAATCCTAGCTACTCAGAGGCAGAGATTAATTGGATTGTGGTCAAAGCCAGCTCTGGCAAATAGTTGGAGAGACCCTGTTCAAAAAACCTTCACAAAATAGGGCTGGTGGAGTGGCTCAAGTTGAAGGCCCTGAGTTCAAGCCCCAGTACACAAAAAAGGGGAAAAAAAAGAATTATGAGAAGGAGTGTTGACTGTACAAGGAAGCTATTTAATTAATGATTTATTTAAGACTAGTAGCCCAGGTTCCTTGAACTTGACATCCTTTAGCCTCAGCCTCAGCCTCAGCCTCTTAACTGCTGGGATTACAGATATGTATAACCACACTTGGCTTCAGGCTTGCTACACCAGGCCCTCTGGTGCTATTTTTCCTATTAATATTTTTTTTTTTTTGTGGTGCTGGGGAGTGAACCCATGCACATGTAGGTCCTTGCACATGTAGGAAAGTGCTTTATCACTGTGCATACCCCCAGCCTACAGTTCTATTTTATTCTTTTTTAGAATAAAAAAACTGCGGTTTGAACTCAGGGCTTTATGCTGCTAGGCAGACACTCTAGCACTTTAGACCTTTGCCAGCCCTTTTTGTGTTGGGTATTTTCAAGATGGCTCTCAGGAACTGTTTGCCCTGTCTGGCTTCTAAACTTGATCCTCTGAGTAGCTACAATTAGAGGTGTGATCTCTGCCTTCTGAGTAGTTATGATTACAGTATGAGCCACCAGCACCTGGTCCACTATTTTATTCTGATGAAAGAGATGTACCTTCCTTTGAAATGAGGACTGAAACCTAACTTGTAGTGTTTTGTCTTTATTTATTTGGCAGTATTGGGTTTTGAATTCAGGGCCTTGAGCTTAGTAGGCAAGTGCTCTAACCACTTAAGCCATGCCTCCAGCTCTTTTTTTTTTTTTTTTTTTTGGCTTTGTGCTTGCATAACAGGTGCTCTACCCACTTGACCCACATCCATTTTCGGTTTTTTTTTTTAATGGTACTGGGGCTTGAACTCAGGGCCTTCACCTTGAGCCACTGTACCAGCTGTTTTTGTGTTAGGTATTTTCAAGATAGGTCTCTCGAACTATTTGCCAAGGTTGATCTCTGCCTCCTGAGTTGCTAGGATTAAAAGGTGTGAGCCACCAGTGACCAGCCTAAGTTTTCAAAATTTTAAAATTTGTTTTACAGGTTTTTTTTAAGTGTTTGTTTCTTTAATGATTTGCAAATGAGCCAATGTCAACTTCTTTTACTCAACCACTTAACTTTAGTAAGCATGGTTAATAATAAAAAGGGAACAACCTAGTGGGTAAACACCAAGGGTGTTTGTGACTTAGAGGTTTTTTTTTTTTTTTTTGGCGATACTGGAGTTTGAACTCAGGGCTTTGCACTTGCTAGGAGGGCTGTACTACTGCTTGAGCCACACCACTAGCCTCTGTCTCCGAGTTTTTGATGCAACCTTTACCTACCTCACAGGCAGTCACTTAGCTTCTCAGGTGGTTTTTTATCTTTCAGATAAGATTTTTTGGGATTATAAGCAAAATAAGATACATATTAAAGAATGTAGCACAATGCCTGGCACATAATACAATAGGTTCAATTAAAGGAACCTTCCATGTCTCCTATACTTCATGGCTCCTGTGTGCTCCCTCTTTGCCAGGGGGAAGTGTACAGTGCAAAATAAATCTCTCCACCCCATTTCTGATTAGTATTTCATTTTTCTTCTTACTATTCTTTTTCAGTTTGCAGACTTGGAGTCTCCTTGTTTCTTCCCCTTTCTAGCTCAGTGAAAGATCCCCACCACTGACTACTTTCTAGCGATCACAGCAACTTACCTGTCCCAGACTTGAGTAGGGACAAAATATTTAGAACATAGGTTTTATTTTAGGAGACTTGCTGCTAAGTGTAGTAGTAAAGTTTCCTGGCTTTACTACTTTCCAAAAACAAACAACAAACAAACAAAAAATTGTTCTATAAAGACATCACAACATGAAAGCATTGTTTCAAAACCTCTCCTTTTCTTTTTTTTTTTTGGGGGGGGGTTGTCTCTTTGATGCTGAGACTCAAATTTACAGGAAGAGCCAGGAATCAAACCATCTATCCAATCTCTTCACTTGCATCTACATTCAGTCTCTTTAAAAGGACTTAAATTTTGGCTGCCGTGGGAGGTGGTGGACTTAATAAAAAGTGGTTCCTGTTACTGAAAAGGAAATATAGTGCCGTCGACTTCGTTTCCTCATCTGCCTATTTCCTCCCTCTTTTTCTGTCTTAAGTTAAGTGGTCCAGCTGTAACCACCGTACTCCCCTCCACCTCCTCCCCCCACCCAGCAACTGAACAGCCTATGATGTCATAATCACAATCCCATTACCTCATCCTGCTGGGGGGGGGGAGGGCGGAGGAGGCATAGAGGGAGTGAACAGCCCTGGACCCTCCTCAGCTTTGCAAAGTGTTCTGAGTGAGGCAAATTACAGAACCAAGTGGGCAAGGCCCCGCAACCGTTATAAATTCCGGGTTTATAAGGTTCAAGTAGATCCGGCAGCTGGAAGAGGGGCTCCAGGGGCTCTGAGCAGGCCCTAATCGGCGATTGGACTACATTTCCCAGCAGCCTTCGCGACGCGGACCAGTCCTTTGCTGGGGGAAGGGGGAATTCTTTTAGGAAGGTGGCCGTATCTGACTAGACAGAAGATAAGGTGAGAGGCTCCGTGGCTAATTCTGTTACGCGGCCGGAATGGAGTGAGAGGCTACAGCTGAGTGGATGTAGGGATGGGGAGAGGGGGCAGTGGCTTTGTTTACTTTCGTTCGACATGGCCTCCCCCGCGGATTTCATGATATGCCTCAAACTGGACTCGTCCACTTTCTTCAATATTTTAGAGGGGATTCGTGGTGAACAAACCACCCCATCCTTAATAAAAGCGCCAGGCTCCTTCCCGACATCCCTATAGTAGGAAAACTTTGAGAGTGAAACGACACGGGGCCCTGGCCTCTGCGAGTTATTCAGAGGGATTCTGCAAACTAAAACGTTCCTTCCACTCTCCTCAGAGGCCTGTTGGTTCGCGCCGACGCCTTTTAAGGGCACCGTGGGGCGAACCGAGCGCTCAGAGCTGCTCCGGCCGCGGCCCTGGGAGCAGGAGGAGCAGCGGTAGGTGGAGAAGGGCAGGTGGCGCTGGGGCCTCGGGGCGGGCACCTCGACCGTCCCTCCCTCTCCTCGCTTTCCCCTCCCCCAGTCCAGCGGCCCGCGCGGCCAGGCCTTGAAGGCCGCCTCAGCGGGGAGAACAGGGGACCCGGTGGGGGAGGGGACGGCGGAGTGCTAAGTCCCAGACCCTTCCATCCCCTGCGTCCTGAGTTCACTTCCCGAGGCCAGATGAGGGAACTAGAGTGGGAATCGGCGAGCAGCACCCCCTCCCGCGAGAGCCCTGCCCCCCCCACCCCGGGGGCCAGCGGACACCCCATGCCCCACCCCGCAGGGACAGGCAGGGTAACAGAGGGAGAGGTTGACGATTGGAGGGGGGCCTAGCCGTTTTCTTCTTCATCAGGGTGGGAGGGAGGCGCGCTCCCACTTGTCACTACTCTCCCCACCAGAACCATATGGAAGAAGAGCAGTGAGGTCTCCATTTACCTGTTCTTGCACGTTCCTGCCTCGCTCATGTTTTCCTTCAGTCTCTCCAGAGGTGTGGAGCTGGGAACTGGTGTGTGTGTGTGTCGGGGGGGGGGGTGTCCCTAGGGGATTTGTGACTCCTGTGTCTTGGTCTGACTTGATCTTAGGTTGTCCAGCTTTCAGTATAACCTCAGCATCCCTGAAACACGAGTGTCAGGGGTTACTGCCATCCAACAGTAGATGGGGTGGGAGTTTATTTTAGGGGACTTGTGGTGGAGGAGAGCCTGGACTGAGAAAGTTGGGCCTGGTGGGTTGCTGGGAGGGCCTAGCGGCCTGCTGCACTGTGAAGTTTGATACCAGTGCCAGTAGTTAAGCTGAGAAGTTTTAACTTGTTTAGTGAATGTTCAGGGCTGTCTACTCCCTCAGATACACAAAATGGAAGGGGAAGAAGGCCAGAGAGGGCTTCTTACACTTTTTCAATGCCTGCTTGAGAAAGAGGAGGCCCCTTGCGGAGCTGGTTTGCCTTCTTTTGTGTCCTGGTTTGATTCCTTATGCTTCCATTCTGTTTCCCCCTCTCAGGCTGGCCTGTTTTAGGAAACTCAGCTTTAGAGTATCAATTGCGTGGTAGTAGTTGCATTGTTCCAATTACCACCGTGTGTGGCCACATCCCAATAATTAAAATAAAGAAAAATACAAAATCACTCTCTTCATTTGGTCCTAGAGAGGGCTGGGATTTTACTGTTTGTCCAAATGCCTCATGAAAAGCTTGGAAGAGTTTGTTTCACTCCCTGCTCCTCATTGCTGGTCAGCCTGAGGCCTGGGGTCTCTAAAAGTCGGCAGTTGGGTTCCCTCTCTGGTTGATCTTTGAAGGCAGAGTTAAGAAAAAGAGCAGAAGTAATAAAAAGCTTTAGCTTCTCTCACAAGAATGTAGGGGAAGCTGCTGAAGGGAACTTTCAGGAAGCTGGAACTTTGTTCAGGGTGGTAATAATGATTTGCATGAAATTGATAGCTAACTATAATGATGATTGATTTCTATACCTTTCTTCCAAAGAATTCAAGTAACATCCAAGGATATTTCTTTGCTCTTCCTTATTGTCTCCCTCTGTGCTGGAATGAGATAGAGATAATTCCCTTTTTTTGTAGAGGGTGAACTGCCCCCCAAGGACACAGAAGGAATAGCCATCTTGGGCTCTTCCTTGTAAGAAGGTGAGGAGGATGGCATCCAGCCAGAAAGATAGACCCAACCCCACTGCCTTCTCATCTTAACGATATCGTCACTTCTGGCATGCTGAGGCTTTGAAGAACAGCAGATAGGAGGGATGAGAAACAGTCTATGTGAACTTCTGATTTTTAATAGGCCAGATTATAGCTTTTGTATATTTTGATATTATTCACTCATATTGTATCACTCCTGTGACAGATTAAGATTATTGTGCCTATTTTACATATGGGTAATCTGAAGAAAGTTAATTGATTAGCCAAAACTGTCTCAGGAAATTGGTTTAAGACTTAGATTTCTTGATTGTTGATTTTCTCTACTGCTTAATGCTAAATTTAGTGAGCTGTCTGCCTGTTGTAATTTCTGGGACAGAACAAAATCAAGACACTAATTAACATAACACTTGCTCTTTCCTTGAACAAGTTCCTCAGGTAGAGTGGGCTTGAAACCTGTTCTCCATCATAAGAGTCAGCTTGCTTCTATCAGAAATTGACAACAAGAAGAATATTGATTAATTATACCCATGTCTTAGAGTCAGATCAGGCTATAAACTTAGTTGCATGAAGTTATTTAAAAAAAAAAATCTGTAGAATTACCATGACCATTTCCTTATCTTCTTCCCACTTTATAGGATAATATACACACTATCTGTTGGAAAACAATATATATATATATATATGTATCAGCTAGTCAGGCTATGGGAGGAGTTAGAATCCTATTTATTCTGATCTGAAGCAGAAAACTATGCCTATAACCATTGCTCCCCACTGTACTCTTATTTCTGTAGTTTTGGAGAAGGGTGCCTCTCTGGTTTCTGACAGGAAGATAAAGAAAATACTTAATCTTTATGGAAATAACCATTTTGGGCATCTTTTTCTTACTTGAGCTGTTTTCTAAGTGGTGCTGGCATTCCAGGTGGAAACAGGAGAGCATAAGCCAGGATAGGAGTGGTAAATAGGTTTCCGTTTCCTTTCCAACTCCATTTTATTTTACTGGATATCTGGAGTGTCAAGTTCAGAATGTTTTGAGGCTTTCTTTAGGCATAGCAGGAAAGAGCTGTGATCAATTAATGATGTCTGTCAGAGGCCTGGCATAGGGGTGCTGTGATATGTGTGCCATGCGTTTTCCATCTCTGGACCAGGTACATCTCTAATGTCACTTGGGGCTGGTCCCTCTGTAATTGGCAGACTCAGCAGGCATGACTGGAGAGGGAAATCCCAATGGTGCTAGAATGGTGCTACAGTGGCAGAAGACGGCTCACAAGTGAAGTCTGGAAGAACGTCAGGGAAGGCATCCATCACTTGCTCCAAGTGTGCAATTCAGATCCTGGGGAGAAAACATGATAACTCTGATCACTGAGCAGCTACAGAAGCAGACTCTGGATGAGCTGAAATGCACACGCTTCAGCATCAGTCTGGTAAAAGACCAGTCTTCCTGCTTCTCCATGACCCCCACCCCTCCTTTTTTTCTGAGGCTATTTGTTGCTATTTGCCCTTGTCCTGTGTACTTGTTCTGGAAGAGCCCACTCTTAAAATCCAGCCCAAAATGAAGGGGGCAATGATTTTTTCCACTGGTAGAAAAGGGACACTAAAACTTGGGTGGAGAAGGGTTTCAGATATTGGAAGGTGTGAATTGTTTTACTCACTAACTTTGGGAAGACAATAGGAAGAAAACACTTAGGAATTTCTAGGAGCCTGTTAGCCCATAAATTACAAGGAAGAATTGAAAAGGTCTTGCTAAAAATCTGGTCCTGTCACCAAATTCTAATGGATATTCTTTCTCTCTTAGCCTTTGCCTGATCATGCGGACATACCCAACTGTGGGAACCCTTTCCAGCTTGTGTCTGGTAAGGCATAATGTGTGTGTTTTGTATATTTGTGTTTGCTCTTGTCTTTTTCCACACACTTCTTTCATTGGTTTCCAGTGACCAAGACTAGTTAGCCTACCTCTGAACTTTCTTGCTTGGCTCACCTTCTGTGATTGACATCTGACTTCATTTTATTGGCTTGCAGAAAAGTTACCTGGTTTAGTTTGTGCCTTTTTTTTTTTTTTTTTTTTGGGTGGTACTAGGGTTTGAACTCAGGGCCTTGTACTTGCTAGGCCAGCATTCTACCTCTTGAACCATGGCTGAAGCCTACAGTTTGCTCTTATTGTAGCTTGTAGTACCTTTCTAATGTTTTTGAATAGGTAATACATTTACATGGTCCAGAAATTTTAAAAATAACAACTAAAATATCAAGCCTAAATAGATTATAAAGTCTTCCTCTTCTGCCCCTATCCACCCAGTGCTTAAAGTAATTCCTGGAGGCTGTGGCTGTGGCTTGTGGAGAGTACTTGCCTAGCATGTGTGAGGCCATTGTTTGATCCCCAGTACTAAAAACAAACCCCCCAAACCGAAAAAAACTCCTATTACTAGTTTCTTGTACATCCAACTAGAATTTATGCAAATAGAAGCAAGCCTATATTTATTCATTCCTTTTTTGGGGGTTGGAGAGCAGTACTGAGGTTTTAATTCAGGGCCTTGACTTGCTAGATAGATGTTCTACCACTTGAGCTACACCCCCAGCCATTTCACTTTAGTCATTTTCAAATAGGGTCTCTCTTTTTTTGTAGGACTAAGGTTTGAACTCAGGGCTTTGCACTTTCAAAGCAGGCACTATTGCTTGAGCCACACCTCCAGTTCATTTTGCTCTGGTTATTTTTTTGGAGATGGTTTCCTGAACTATTTGCCTTGGCTGGTCTCTGACTGCGATCCTCCTGATCTCAGTCTCCCAAGTAGCTGGAATTATAGGGGTGAGCCACCAGCACCTGGCAGGTCTCACATTTATGCCTGGCCAGCCTAAACTGCAGTCCTCCTGTTTACATTTCCCACTAACTAGGATGACAGATGTGCATCATCACACCCAGCTTTTATTGATTGAGATGAAGTCTTGAGAACTTTTGCCTGGCCTTGAACTGGAATCGAGATCCTCCCAATCTCCACCTCCTAAGTAGCTAGGATTACAGGCATGAGCCACCATGCCTGGCCTAGTTTTTGTTTTTTTTTTAAACTTAGTAAATTTGGGAGATCTTCTTTCTGTCAGTGTGCTGAGTGTTTCCTTGTTTATAACACAGCTGCATATTATCACACTGAATGAATGCACCTTAGTTCATTTAACCATTTGCCTCCTGATGTATATTTGTTTGTTTTGCATTTTTTGTTTTGTTGTTGTATTGGGGGTACATTGTGACATTTACAAAAAGTTCTTACAATATATCATAGTTGAATTTATCCCCTCCATCATTCTCCTTTATCCTTCTTTCCCCAATTCCTGGAATAGTTTCAATGGGTCTCATTTTTCCATTCATTTGCGATCTTCTGTTCACTACATGAGACTATAGTGAATAACCTCATATAGGTTATTTTTCACATGTGAAAATATATCTGAGATATAAATTCCTAGATTATGAATTAGTCAAAGAGCCTATGTCATGAGTATAATTAGTAGACAGAGAATCTATCCCATGCTGCTGCTTGGTTGTTCTGTATCCTGTTTTCTTTTCTGGGATACCTGGTAAGGAAA